CCCCCCCCCCCCGGCCCTCCGCCTCCCGCTCCCTCTTTCATGTTGCTTGTGCTTGGCCTTCTCGCACCACGGTCGGCCCACAGGGGCTGCAACCTACGACGCGGGCGCACTGGGCCGCGCCGGGAGCGCGGTATAGGCAGAGTGTGACAATCCGGCAGACACCCGGAGGGGCCGACAAACTTAACAACGGAAGGGGGGGGGGGGGGAGCCCAAGGCCACACCGGCCGAGAGAATGCGGGGAACGGGACGGCGAAGTGCAAGGGGCAGGTGGGCTCTCTGGCCTACCCACCCGGTGCCCCGGCTGGACCCGCCTCCAGCCGGAGGAGGGGGGGCAGCCCACCGCTGGGACGCCGCCCCGCCCCCAGCCTTGGCCTCCGAATGTTGACCGCAGCCGAGTTCGTCGCGCCGGTTCCCCTTCTCCACCAAAAACGGGACTGGGGCGCACATGAATATCCCCACCCCCCCCCCCCCCCCCCCCCGCCCCCCCCCCCCCCCCCGGTTCTTCCCCCCCCCCTGTCCCCCCCCTCCCCGGGGCGTGGGGGACCCCCCATTTCCTTACGTCCTCCCCTCCCTTGTTTCTGGGTTTATTCTCCTTTCTTGTTGGTCTCCGTGCTCCTCCTGGGGTTTTCCCTTCTTTATGTGTGTTTTTGATTGTGCCCTCTTGGTAGCCTGGGGGGGGGGGGGGGGGCAACGCGCATGCTCGCGAGGGGCCCCGCCCCTGGGGCCGAGACACAGGTGAAACTGTGATGCGCTTGGCCCGCCCTTCCCTCTCTCTCCCCCCCCCCCTCAAGACCGGGCAGGCGAGATCAACACAGGATCACCCATGCGGCGGGGAGAGCTTGATCGCAAGGCGGCTCTGAGTTTGGCAGGCACAGTGCGGAGTAAAGGCTCGCCTGCCAACTGCGCAAGGGGCGCAGACGCGTTCGCTCTCTCGGCCGCCTTCGCTCTCCCACGAAGCAAGATCGAACCGTTGGAGCGCAAACGGCGCCAAAAACTGAAATCCCCCGCGGCCTTCGCTGGGGGACCTTCTGCTTTTTACACGCTTGAGGCGGGAGACCGCGCATGGCGCCGCCCGCCATCCGGCCCCCCTGGCTTGGAAAGGGGCGGGGCGCGAATGCTTCTCGCCAACACCAAGCCCCATAAGGTAGGTAATGATGATTCGCGAGGGAGACTGGCTGGGCAGAGGTCGACAAAGATAAATACACAAACACACACATGTGCATACACCCATACCCACCCACACGCACGCACGCACGCACGCACATGCACGCACGCACGCACACACACGTACACACACGCACACACAGACACACGCATGCGCGCACGCTACCCCCGACATCCTCTTTGCCCACCCAGCCGTGTAGCCCCAGTGGTCGCGATGGCCTCAGTCAACCCAAATTGAGCACGAGAGGGCCCATGCCCTCCAGGCACCTATAGACAGGTGCACGCGCGCGATCTCCCCATCCCCAGACCCCCCACCCCCCTTTCGCCTCGCACCCACGCTTGGCCAGGCGAGCGTTGAAGGGGGGAGGGTCGGGGCGCGATCTCCCGCACCAAAGAGACGCCATTGCCTATGGCGCGCAGGGAAGCCGTGGTAACACCTGAGGCTGTTACAATCAGGAAGGCATGAGAGCAGGGATCGCCGCTCGGGGCCTCCCAGGTGGCGGGGAATCCCGGGAGGGGGGAGCACGAGGGGGCGGCAGCCCCCCCATGCGATCCTTCTCACCCCCCGGGCGGGGGGGAGGGGGGGGGGCGGGGGGGGGGGCTGAAAAGCGCCTGCACTCGTGCGGCCCGGCCCCCAAGTTCACACCACCCCTCCCCAATCCACCCTGCCCCCGCATTCTTCGAACAGCCACATTACCAAAAAAAAAAAACATCTCCCCCTCCGACCCAAATCCCCTCATCCTCTTATGTCGCCTGTCTCCCCAGCCGCCTTCGCGTCGGGGATGCCCATTAACGGCACCCAGTGCCTTGAGAGCCACCGCCCCCCCCTTGGCCAGGCCCCATTTTCTGACGATCTTGCCAGTCACCGGCTCCCTTCGGGCGATCCCCCACCTGCTCCCCTCCTCGGGTCCTCCTTGGCCGGCCTCATGCGGCCTGCTGCCAATGTGGCCGCGGCTGCCGCTGCCGCCGCTGCTGCTGCGGCAGCAGCAGCAGGACACCCCCCGCTTGCAAACCCCTCCTCCTCGCCAACCATCCATCACCAAGCCAGTGCGTCTCCTACCTCCGAACCACCCCCCCCCCCCCATCCATCTCGTCGATACACCCACACCCACATATATATATATATATATACATATACACATGCACACGCATGTGTGTAGAAGTGCACCCCTCGGCAATCGCCTCGCCCTCTTTCCTCCCCCCTCCCGGCTGGACTGTCCCCCCCTCCCCGCGCTTGCATTTTTCACTGACTCTCGCTCGATTCTACCCGCCTGTCAGTCGCTCATCCCCACGCGCCAGATCTTCGCCCTCACTCTCTCGAGGACATTGTCCTCAAGATCTTCCAGCTCTCCTCGGTCGCCCCGACAGCCGATTCAGTGATCTCCAATCCACAGCTTCAGCTCCCAGCACCCTCTCCCTCTTCGACTATCATCGCCAAACCCGCCCCGGGCTCGCACTTTAGTCCCCCGCATCTGCCCCGGCCGGCCAAGCGCATGGCCACTGATGGCAGCCTCCAGCCGGCCCCCTTTGCCGCGGCGGTCGCCGAGTCTTCCTCCTCCTCCTCCTCTTCCTCCTCCTCAACCCCCGCGGCCCTCCCTTCCTCGACTTCGGGCTCGGTAGCCTCCCTGTCTCATCTGCCGCTAATCGCCGCTCTGGGAGGGCTTCACTCTCCCTCCAGTCCGGTCCCATCCTCGGGCACTGGCCCACTCCCGCTCTCGGCCGCTGCCATTGCCGCCGACGCGGCTCTTCGTTTTGTCCCCGCTCCTCTCTCCTCCGGACAATCGGCAGCTTCGCCCCCAGCTCCTGTGCATCCGATCAGCATCCGCGATCTCCTTCCCGGTCGCACATCCCCCAATGCCGAACCGGCCTTCACGACAGCCGTTCGGCGGGATTTCCACAGCTCCATCGCCGCCCTTGCCGTACCACCTCCAACCGCCGAACTATCACCCCTCTTCACCCTCGCCAGCATCGCCCTTCAGGAGCCCGCTTCATCGCTGGCTTCCCCGGCATCAATAATCCCACCGACCACCACCACCTCTGCCAATGGTACCGGGCATGTGGCCCCCACTTTTTCCTCCCCCCTCAACTCCGGGCCCTCCTCTACATTCCCCTCCTCAGGACCCTCCTCTGCCTTCCCCTCGCCGCCCTCCTCTACTGCTCGGTCAGTCGTCATCCCGGGCGTCTCCCTGCGCACTCCCCCTCCTTCTTCTTCCTCCTCCTCCTCCCTCGTGCCTGCCGGCTCGGCTGACACGGCTGCCGCTGCTGCCGCCGCCGCCGCCGCCGCCGCTGCTCTCGTTCTTGCTGGCAACCATGATGCCATGCAAACTGATGCTTTGTCAGGTGCTCCGGCCCAGACGACATCGGCTTCCCCTGGCCATGCTCCGAATCCCGCCTCGGCAAATTCCCCCGTCGGCTTGCGATTTTCCTCCTCCCTGCAACTTGCCCTCGGGAATATCATCGCCGAACCGATTGACTTTGTCTCGCGCATGGAGGGCGCGGATTTGCTCGGAAGTTCGCCGACGCCCCCTCCGTCCTCCAACTCGTCAAATTCTGCCGCTCCGGCAGGGTTGCCACCAGCCGATGGGCGCCGCTCCGCTTCGGCCACGCCTCCCTCAAGTCCTGCCGGTTCGACCAAGCTGACTCCCGAGGAGAAGCTTGTCCAGCAGCGCCTTCGCAACGCCGCCTCCAGTGCACGCGTTCGCCAGCGTGTCAAGCTCCGCCGTCAAGCCCTTCAGGCCGAGAATGAGGCCCTCCTCAGGCGCCGTGCTCTTTTGGTGGAGCTCCTTCGCCACACGCGTACCACCCGGGCTCTTCTTCATCAGTCCCTCCAGTTGAAGACTGGGGCTCTTGTCTCGGGGGCTCCTGATGGCATGGCTGCCCTTCCCACTTCGCTTTCTTCCGCCATGGGCCCATCCTTCCGGCAACTGTGAAGGGGATTTCTCTTCCCTCTTTTCCCTCCCTCTCCTGAAACTTGAGGGCCCTTCTCTCGACTGCTAGACGGGGGATATGTTTCCCCCCCCCCCCCTTCCCCCCCCCAAGAGACCATTTCCAAGAAAGCATGGGATGATCGATGGATATGCGGCCCATCCTGCCTCCCCTGCGCACTGTACCATAGAAAACCGCATACCGTCCCCTTGAGTCGCCATGTGCTCCCTCCTCTCGTCCTTTCTCCCTCCTTGTGTGTGCGGCCCAGGGAAAGAAGGAAACGCGACATGGAGGCAATTCGTCGCCCAAAGGAGAAGGCCGACAATTGGGGAGAAAAACCAAAGAGCGAGCAGGTGGGTGTGACAGCGAAGAACCACCACAATTCGTCCCCTGCTCCGGGGAGAATGGCCTCGGAGGAAGACTGGATGGTGGTGGAGAGAGACCTTGGCAGCACAGTGCGGCCCGTCTATTCCTTCAGCCCCCCCCCCCCTCCCTCTTTGCACCCTCCCACGCTTGCCCAATTAGGTTTTACAAAGGCAGGCATCATAGTTGGAAAGCCCTCCACACTGAAAGGGCATCTAGGAAATATATTATATCCAGATCAGTTGCATGTGTCGCAACAGGAAGGGTGCTTGCATGCTGTTCATCGTGTGCTGTGGGAAGGACGGAAGGGGGGGAGGGGGGAGGGAGGAGTGGCAACGAACAATCGAGGGGTGTTGAAGAAAAGACCGACATATGGCGGAGCTCTACCCTGTGGGTCCATCAGTCTTGCTGTTGGACGCGGGACTGGGCGCGGTCGGGGCCATTGGCATGCTAGACTTCGATGCAAACAGTGAACTTGTGGTCTTGCCGATGTTGGGCGTAGCCATGCGCGGACGCGGCCGACTTGCGGCCAGGTGCGCCGGCCGCAGGGGAGCCATCACCGACCGTGGCTTGAGGATGTTGGTTGCCACCACCGCCGTGGGGGGAGGGCTCGGGCGTGCCTGCTTGGCGGAGGCCTCTTTGGGCTTGACTGGCGAGATGAAAAGCGGCCGGTCGATGAGTGTTGATCGGTCGCGTGCAAGTGCGCGCGAAACATCCATCTGGTGGATGGAAAATCGAGAGAGAGAGAGAGAGAGAGAGAGAGAGAGAGAGAGAGACCAGTGAGAAAGGAGGTTAAAAATACGGGGGGTGGGAGGGGCCCCGAGGGGGGGTTTCCAGATCACGGTCGTGACCAGCTGAATGGCCAACAACAGGAAGAACAAGAGTGAAGAAGAAGGAGGACGGTAGGGAGGACGGCGGAAACGCACCTCATCGCCAAGGTCAACATACGCAAAGCCCTTTGAAATACCGCGCGGATTTTTGACAATGCGAACCGAGGTCACAGTGGCGAAAGTCTCGAAAAAGGCTCGAATGTCCTCCTCCGTCGCTTTGAAGGAAAGATTTGACAGGAAGACAGAAGACCTGGACAAGAGTGTTAGAAGGCCGGACAAAGCGACAGCAACAGAGGGAGACACAGAGAGAGAGAGAGAGGGGGGGGGGGGGGAAGACATGGGGCGCAGCATAAAAGTCACATACGAGGTGTCCTCCGCGCGAGTACGCTTTTTCGGCTCCGACAGGTTTGTCCCCTCGGTCGCGCCCTCGGCAGGAGGCGGCTTGTCCACCTTCGGAACTGGCTCCGCCACCTTCGATACGACCTTTTCCCCCTTTGAGGCAGGTCCATCTGCCTTCGGAAGGGATTCAACCGACTCGGCAGTGCGTCGCGCGGCGGCGGCCCGGCGCCGAGGCTCAGCCGGCGCCTCATTTGCTGCGGTGGCCGCGGCGGCCTGAGCGCTGAGTGCCTGGGCATACCGGTCAGCCAGAATCTTCTGCTGGACTTCCACGCGTCGAAGGGCGTCAGCATGGTCGGCTGGCCCGCCATGTAGCCCCTCGCAAGTCAACCATTCGGCGAACAGGGCCGCCGGGTTGTCGGCAATATTGGCACCAGCCGCTCGACGGAAAACCGTCCGCCACTGTGGCTGGGCTCGATTGTATGCCCTACGCCGTAGGACTGCTGTCAGAAGGGGAAGCAATCGAGCAAGACACGTATGGGGAGAGGACGCACAGCTCCAGCTTGGCATATTCGATCCAAAGTTCGGCCGAGCGCCCCTGCAGCTTGATGATGGACTCGTAGACCGTCTGCCCGGCGGCAGGATCCCCCAATACCTCGTACTCAGCTCGTGCCCAGAAACGCTCCAGGCGGAAATAGAGGTCTCCGGCTGGGGGGTTCACTGTTTAGCAGGCGGACATAGACAGGCAGGCAGGCGGGCGGGCAGGCGGGCAGACAAGCTCGTTAGTGGGGCCATGGGGCAGTGAGGGGCATGCTTGTGGCATCACTGCCTCGCGTACAGGACTGTGCTCGGGCAATCCCGGCGCGCAGGGCATCGCGCAGTGCGGCCACCTCGGGCACGACATCCAGGCTGGCGGCCGAGTCCCCGGTCAGCACGGCCCGGGCCGAACGCAATAGGAGGGCCCCAAGGGCCAGATACACCGGAACCACCTCGTCCACCGAATTCAGAAGCCCGGAGGACATGGCTTGCTGAACAAGCGCTATCCGTCGCAAGAGGAAAGTGCCGGCTGTGTGTCAGACTCAGAAGGTAATCGGGGGAAGGACAGGAATGACAGGGGGGGAGGGGGACAGAGGGGGAGGGGAGAGAGAGAGAGAGAGAGGCCCTGCTTGTGCTGGTGCGAGCGCGTACCTGTCGCGGCAGAGGTACAGCTGCCAAACCGCTCCAAGCCAGCCAGATACCCGGCCCAGAAGGCACCGCTCCAACCGCAGAAGCGCACAGCCCGGTGGTGGACATTTAGGGCAGCCACCGGGTCGGTCACATACCGGTCGGCAAAGCGACAGTATCGACTCCAGAGCTCCTGGGAGAAGGGGAAGGCGGCGATGGCCTGCTCATAAACCACCTGCGCCCGGAAGGGGTTGCTCTTGGCGCGCTTGGCCTCAACCGCATCGACATAAGCCAGTGCCCCCTCGATCGAGGCGGTAGGTCCCTAAGTGCAAGGGGCCGATGCGTCAGCACACATGGAGGAGGGAAGGTCATGGGGAAGAGGGGGAGAGAGAGAGAGTTTGTGTGTGTGTGTGTGTGTTTGACAGGGAGAAGAACAGCAAGCGGAAGCGTACAAAGGCGCCGGCTTCGAGCGGGGCCAGCTCAGTGGCTTCGCGGCGGGCGTCGGCAGACAGCGCTCGCAGCTTGCCGCGCTGTCCCGACGGGAGTTCATCCTCGGACAGGTCTGCCAGCCAGGCCTCCAGAGCCGCCATCACGGGTTCGGGGTCTGTTGAGCGTTAGAGCAAAAGAAAGCCCGGGGCATTTGCCAAGATGAGGGCCGCGAGGGATCGGGCGAAATGAAAAAGAGAGACGCACTCTCAACCGGGGCACGCAAGGCTCGGGAAATGATCCGTCGCAAACGGTCCGTCTTGGACTCCTGGGCCCGAGACTTGCTTAGTGAAGCACTCCCCCGGCTGCTGCTGGCAGTCTCCTCATCAATGCACTCGGGCGAGAAGGTAGGCCAAAATGCTGGCATTCGCACCGGGGGGGGGGGGGGGGTGAGACGGAAGAGGGGCGAAGAGAACGGGCCAGTCCGGAAGGAGGGGAGAGAAAGGAAAGTGTGAGGAAGGAACAGGAAGGGCAGACCTTGTGGGAGGAGCAGCAGGAGAGGGCTGAAGAAACACATACCGCCCTCTGGTAGGTCAAGGATCTCTGACAGCTCAACGATCCCGAAGGTGCTGTCTCGCGCCATGGTGGGCGGGAAGACCTCGTCGTCGAAAGCTAGCTCGGTTTGGAAGTACAAAAGCCAAAGATCCGGCGCCTGGGAATAACTCCAGCCACACACCTGCACCGCACGCGCCAGGACCCGGCGGATGGACTCCGGCGAAAAGTGGGCGTCCAGCTGCAGATCGGAGATCGAGTAGACGCTCGGATCAGTGCCCTCGTCAAGACAAACCATCAATCGGCAGGCAAAGCGCCGGTTCAGGAAGCGAATGTAGTCCATCCAAATATCAACCGCTGGGCCGGGGGCAGAAGAAAGGCCGTCAGTACGGAATGGAAGGCAAAGGGGGAGCGGGGAGGGGGGGGGGGGGGGGTGGGGAAAGACAGCAGCAGGCAAGGGGATACAAGGTGACAGGGGGTGGGGAGAGGAGGGCGCAGGGGGGGGGACCACATGCGATAGAGGCACTTCACGCACTAGGGCAATCCAGCAAGGCCTTCTCAAAGGTACGAATGATGTTCTTCTCCGGCTCAGGCGCGCAGTCAGGGTCAAATTGGCTCGGCAACTCGGCAGCCAGAGCATGCAAGTGTGACCGCCAGACGCCTGTGGCAGGGGCAGGGGGGCGAGAGACAAAGCGAGAGGGAGGGACATCAGAGAAAGATCAGTCAGACGGGCATCTTTGCATGAAAATCGGAGAGGGGGAGCGAGGAAGAGAAAGACCATGACCATGTGAATGCAGGCACGCACGCGCAGGCAGGGGGAAGTGCTGATAGAATTTGTCTCGTGTATGCGTGAGCAATTCACGGTGGGACAGCTGAGCCGAGGTTTCGAGCACCTCCACAAGCTGCACATATGACTGGTAGTCGCGGGTATTCCGGCGCAGCTTGGAGGAAGGACAAGGCAGGTGGAAGACATGGGATGGTGATGGCACAGATGGAGGGTCAGAGATCGGCCAGGGCAGGAGGGGGCGAAAGACACGCCCTTGATGCGGAAGGGGAAATACAAACCTTGGACTGGAGGGCCGCCACGAGAGCAGCCACGGGGACGGCATCTGTAACGGAGGCGGAGGCCTCGTCAGGGGAGGGGGTCTCTTCGGGATCATTGCCGGAAGGCACCTGCTGCATGCCCTCAACAATGGCATCCTCTGCGTCTGAGGAGTCGCTGTCACCGATCATCGGGATGTCCGATCCAAAATCGGACAGGGAGCTGTTCTCATCGTCAGAGGACGACGAGGCGGATGACGATGAATGGTCCTCGGCATCCGGAAACAATGGCCCAACAAGGGAGGGCCGAGTGGACATGTGCGGTCGGGGGAAGCCGAGAGGAAAGGGCGGAAGGTGGACAGCCGAGGAGAAGAAAGCAGAGGCAAGTGTGATGGGAGCGGGGAGGAGAGAGAGAGAGAGAGAGGGGGGGGGGAAAGAAGGGAGAAAGGTGGGTATGGGAGTGGAGGGGAACAGGATGCTCGGACTTCACTTCGCCGGCCCGGTCGGCGCAGGAGACGCCGAGAGAAGGGGAAACCTTTCTCCTTTCGAGCGCGTCATCGAGATCGCGCAAGCAGAGCAACGCCAGCGGGCTAGTCTGGCGCGATGGCGGGAAGAGAGATCGGAGTGACAACGAAGTGCTCTTGCATCATGTGTTCCCCATTTGATCAGCTCCCATGTAATGGCGTTATCTTACAATTACATTGGTCGTGTGTGGTGGGACTGTTAACCGCCCGGGCCCTCCTCTTTCAGCCAGGCGTGTCCTCCGCATTCAACTTGACTCCTCAAAAATGCGTCGAGGGGCGAGGAGCGGGGCAGGACGGGGGATCCCCGGCTCGAGACAAACCAGCGCCATATGCACTCTGTGCTGCTTGAGTCTTGAGTTGTGCACTCAGACTCGACGCAGGCAGGCGCCGGAAGACACCGAGACAGGACAGGGCTCGGCGAAGGAAAAACAGGGCACATGAAGACGCCACGCGCACGCTGGGCCCCCCTCCCCGGAGGACTACACCCCCGCCCCGATCTAGGGGGATGTCTCTCGGTGAGCAGAGAGGGCGAATGGCGCGGGTGGGTGCCCAGGCCATGATCGGAGAGAGCAGTATGGTTGTGCGCTGCATGCGACGGCCCACTCGGCGGGGGGGGGGGG